CCTATCGGGCCGAACATACCGGAGACCTGACGTTCAGGAAAGGGGAGAAACTGGAGGTTTTAGAGCGAAGCGATCCCGACTGGTGGACAGTTAGGCGAATTGAGACAGGTGAAATTGGTTATATACCTGCTAATTATGTGGCGAGCATTGACATTGAGTCTGAAGAGTGAGTGTGCTAGCTGATAATAAAATAATTTATTAAAAAATCCAATTATTAACATCGTCTAAGTGTATTCAATAGTATAAATTTAGTACTGTATTAGTTTATTTAAATGTTACCATACGTTTAGTGATAAAATTAATTAACTAAATAACATGGTCGTGCCCTTACAGCTGGTATTATGGATCCATCGGGAAGCGGGAGGCAGAAAAAATATTACAATATAGCGATTATCCGGCTGGAACTTTCTTAATCAGATTGAGCAAGTACAATACTCCCAATGCCTTAAGTAAAAGTCTCTCTCTCTCGCGCTCTCTCTCTCTCTCAAAAATAACTCATAACGAAAACCTAATTCCCAATCATATAACCCCCTAAACCTGAACCCCCAGAATCATACGTCCTGTCCATCCGGAACTCGAAGTCAAATGAAGTGAACGGTGAACACGGCGTCAAACACTACCAAATCAAAGAGACTCCGCACTACACCTACTCTATTGGGAAGCGGGAGTTCTCATACGTGCACGAACTCATCCAGTTCTACAGCACACACCCGGGCGAGCTATGCCATACACTGGGCCAGCCCTGCATTAAACCCATGCCCCGAATCCTATCACTGGACCACTCACTGGACCATAACGACGAGATTGACCGGAAAGACCTGAAAATGATCCGACGATTAGGGAGCGGAAACTTTGACACAGTATTCTACGGGACATTTCTGGGTCAGGACGTGGCTGTCAAACGGCTTAAACCGGGAACTTTGTCACCGAAGGCTTTTTTGGACGAGGCGGTGGTCATGAGGAGGTGCCGACACGACAAACTCGTCAAACTCTATGGCGTCTGTTCCCGGGGACAGCCCTTACTCATAGTCACGGAGTTTGTCCGCAAAGGCGCTCTATTGGACTATCTTAGGGACAGTCCGGAGGGAAAGGCCCTAAAGCTGTCTGATCTGATCGACATGTGCGCACAGGTAGCCTCAGGTATGAGTTATTTGGAGTCCATAAAGTTGGTGCACCGAGACCTAGCGGCCAGGCATATATTGGTGGGCGATAATAACGAGGTGAAAGTAGCCGATTTTGGGTTAGCCCGCATTATTGAGGGGGAGGAGTACGTGGCCCGACAGGGGGCTAAGTTCCCCATTATGTGGACGGCCCCCGAGGCCCTACTCTTTGGCAAGTTCTCTACAAAGTCTGATATCTGGTCGTATGGGGTGCTGTTGTACGAAGTGATCACTTTTGGTCAGGTCCCCTATGCAGGTAACTATGCTAACTGTACAATAACTGTACCTGTATATTTGTCTATTTTAATTAAATATGACATGTATCAGTATGTTATATAATAGTAGCGTAGACAATTAAATCTAAAGATACTTTTCTTTATGAACATTGTACACAATTTATGAACTCATTATCAACCGTCATATGAGCACCGGTACTGAATACAAAATAATTGTTTTGTTTAATGAATGCAATAGTAAAAATAGCTAATCAATTTGTGTATTATACGAATGCTGTAGTCAAAATTGATTTTCTACAAAATAAAACTAATATTTTTGTATTCATTTACCACAGCTATGGATAGGCGGGAAATCCTGAATCAGGTTTCTCGAGGTTACCGGTTACCCAAACCCATATACGTGGAGTGTCCCGACTCTTACTACGATATGATGCTTAAGTGTTGGGATGAAGTGCCCGAAAATAGGCCCACTTTTGAGTACTTATACCACTTCTTCGAGGACTACTTCGTGGCCACTGAGAGACAGTACCACAAAGCAGATGAAAACGAGGAGGACATCGATGACCAATAAATGATCTACTTTTTGATCGCATACTTGTTTCACATCTATTATAATCAAACTCTAATCACATCGATAAATTAAATTTTATATGATTTATATATTTTATAAATAGTCACAAAAATTATTTTAATATTTGCTTTTTGTATAAATTATGAACTAAACAAATAAAATAATTTTATATTTTATCAATTACATATTAACTCATGTATGTGTTACTAATTAATTTTAAATTACTTTTACTTTAACTGGAT